TACAAATATACACATATACATATATGCAGTAGCTCTCAAACGTATTCGGCGGAATGCTTATTCAGTTGTACTTTTCAGTCGTAACATCTTTCCTACTTGATCTAGTTATGCGAAATTTCAGTATGGATAGCATGGGTGTATTGTGGATATTTACCACTATCAATATGCAATCTGACCATGTTCCAGATATCCAAAGGGCTTGAAATAATCTGGAAATACAGACATTGGCCCTTCTAGGAATTCTTTTCTTTTTGCCATTTTTTAAGTGTACGAGCGCTAGTGCCGAACACAGTAGAGAAGAATAACGCACATAAGGTGCTAATAACTGCAGACGTCACTAACTTGGTTTGAGCGAAGTCTGCTACCGCAAAAAACGTCCTGCTCTCAGTTGAGTGGATATTGCTGCTTTGCGGTAAAACAGAGTTGGATGATGTGAAATACGCTTCAGTTAAACATATCAAAATTTTATCTCTCATTTTTGAAAAGCAGCCAAGCACTTTTGAATGAGTTGAAATGAGGTAGGAGGAAATATTTGACATTAAGACATAAAATTGGGGTGCAATCCAATCTCTATGTTTTCAACTATAAAAACAGCTTCGTTTAATGAATCAATCGCTGTTACAGTTGCGCAATCCCCGATTGCAAATTTTTCGAAAGCAGAAAGTTGTTCATCACTGTGGCGCGTTTACGCTAAATTTACAACATTTCCATAGGGCACACACCTCTGATTCATTCTATATTAGGCTTCACTTTCCCTTGATGTCCCTTAACATCTTCTCCAGGGCAATCACTAGCGTAAGCTCATCATTTCTTTTTTTATTGTTCGGTTCATTTCTGTGTATAGGTGTGATGATGTCGGGGACTGCCAGCCTGTAAAGAGGGCTCAATACCGCGAGGCTGTCTGTTGCAATAATTTCAGTGGAGACAGGGATTCACATTGTTCTATTCCCTTCTTACATCAGCTCTTCTTCGCAGTGCGCGAACCGGTTCCAATAATTTTTCCGCAAAAGCTGGATTTATGGGCTACCGTTTAAATGGTCTCCCTTTTTGAAAATCTTATCTCTCTTCGAGATTTTTCTTTGTAGCGCTACCTTTCCGACCTTTCAGAATATAAACTCGCAGGCATTGATCAGAGTAGTGAAGAAACTCGGAAGGAACTGAAAAGTAGAACCATTTGTCTTCGAAAGGGATTCGTCGTTTTTTCGTAGTATGCGCTCTCCAACTATTTGTATCTTTGCGTAATGATCATTTGTTCAAATCGATCTGCTTGGAACCACCTCGTACCTACAGTCCTAAGATCAGGTTTTCAAAAGGCTGAGTAGTAGGCTCTGCAAGGCACTGCTATAGTCCTTGAACCTTTTTTGTCAGAAGATCAATTTCTAAAGCATATCTCATTTTAGAGCATTAGAGCTCAACGAATGATGGCGGTCTGCTGCCTAGCCTTTCTATCGGTTATTCAGTCAAAGGAGGAAACTTTCCAATAATAATGTACTTGAAATAACTGCCTTCGAGCGAAAGAATCTTATGCGTCTTATGCGTATATGCTTGAGGTAGTGGTAGGAGGTGGTGAAGTGGCAAGTGGCGCACTATCTCACTCGCACGTTCACGGGTTCGAATTCCGGATCGATATCGGCCTAAGCCGAACAAGCCTTCCATCCCTCCGGGGACGGTAAACGGGTACCATCCTCGTCTGGTAGGATGAAGGCACTGTCTTGTACATCAGCTGGCCACCGCAAGTCATTGTATAGGTCACATACGCACTCATCACGCCACTACGATTCTGAATTGAAGTCGAGTGCGGGGGTTGAATCCCTCAGACGGGATTGATCAACGCCAAAAACTTTATACATTTTTATGCGTAAGGATTGCAGTATCCCCTGGATTATGATGCATCATTTCAGCCCATGCTCTGATCGAGGCAAAATCGTTGGCTTTTTCTACTTCTTTGCATTTTCATCTTCCTGCTAGAATATGAAAAATGGGATTGAATATACTATGCCGTTTATATTGGACTTTATCGTGTTTCCAAAGAAGAAGACAACTATGAAAAAGAGAACCTAAGTGTTCACTGAACAAGGAATAGGGAGGGCAACGCACATACACGGCATAGATGCAATTTTTATTGAAGAAAAAGTAGATGTAACTACAGCATCTGCCTCAAGAATTATTAACATCGAACGAAGAATGTTAATTCGCTTTTGTTGTTTTATGGTGTGAGTCGATTTGAGGCTGAACTTTGACAATTTTTTATAAATTACCGAACTAGCCTTGGAATTACCTGATCATACAGTGCGCACCCAAGTTCAGAGGCATATTTCCTCTATGTCATTAAAATAGTCATTAGATAAATATGAGTCTTCTGTTAGGGATGGAAGTAATAAACAGTATAGGACTTTGATTGTGAACAGGAAACTTTCTGACTGACTTCATCACAGGTAGGTATCTGATTAGAGTATGGCTCTGAATGTCAGTGGGCGGCATGCTGTGCTTCTGGCACTGTTCAAATGACCTCTTTTTATTCTCTCACCAGAGCTGCTAAGCTTCGATGTGCCAGAACTAATTCTCACCAGAGCAAATGCTAACTATTGATATATACCACATCTCCATAGAGACTTGTATTTGCTTCCGTTCTTAGCACCGAGCTATTGAAGGTAGTATTCGGAAGTGCAGGTAATGAGTACCCACTTTTTTATTTGACATATTTAAAGGCACAGTTTACGATCAAAACCTGAGATTCCCCATGTAGGAGGCTCAAGCAACTTGTCATGACCTATAGCGACAGTGAAAGACAGTTTTGGCTTGATGGAGTCAGCTCTTTGCGCAATTGCAGCAACTGAAATCTCGTTCGAATACCCCATACATGTTAATTCCGTCAAGGCAATCTCGTCCAACCTCTATTTCCCTACTTTTGAGAAGCCATATCTTCCTCGAAATCGAGAATTCTCTCGCTTTCTTCACTACTGATGAACCATATCCAATCTACACTTCCGCTTTTCGAATAAAAACGGGTACTTAAAAATTATCGTGAACCATGCCTTCAAAGAAACCACAGAAATAATTCTGTTAACCCTGGTTCCCTTGCAATTTACAAACTCACCTCGATGGAAACCGCTCAACATACGAGGAAGGCAGACAACTCCTAAATTTTCGAGTTCATAGGTCAAAATTGTTAGGCGGATCATTTTGAAAGGAGCTCAAACACACTCTGTAGCTACTGCAGTACAGGTGCTGTTTTTCAAGCACTTTTTAATTTGACATGTATTGAAACAATCGCAGGGATAATTGTATGTCCTCTGTGGTAATTATGATAATAACAGCAGTTTGATGGAAGTTTTGTTTAACCCGGTGCACCGCGTAACCACCTCGTGCACCGATCTCGAACCTCGCCATTAGTCGGACTGGCAGATGGACCAGTGAAAGGGATTAGGCCCAGAATAGAAACAAAGCCTAATTTATCATGGAATGTTTTGAATGACATTGAACAACATTTGTTCTGAGAAGTCGCAGTGCTATTTCGGAAAGAAGACAGAAAATGGTAATCTCAATCTATGATCCCCCTCGAATTCGGAGCCTAACAAATGAAGAGGGTCTTGCCTGTAGCGAACTTAACCCGAGATTCTTGCACACAATATGTGCAGTCTCTGTCTTTTCAGAATTATGTCGGAAGAATCGTCCCATTTACCTTTAAAATGCTCCTAAGACCGGGCTACATTAATTCTTTACTACTGCCGAGCTCTGACCTTTGATGCTCGTACAAGCACAAACCCACTTCTTTCCGGTTGGCTGTTCCTTTCTAAAGCCATAACTTCACTTTAATCGAGCAAATTTGGTAATCCATACATCTCTTCGAGGTCCTGAACCACGATCTCCCCTTTCTTCTTTCCTCAACTTTAGATTTCCTACTTCCACTATTTTTCCTAATGAAATATTCTTCTTCATGCTGATTATTTGTACCCTTAAATTCGTCATTTCCAAAAGACCCTTAACAAGAGAAAATCGATCGTCAAAAGTTTGCCCAAAGCTGTGCGCTGTGGTAGCCACGCCTCGAGCTTCGAAGTAGTCTCTAAAATGATTTTTGCCACTTGAGAAACCTGCGAATGTAGCCTTTTCTCCGAAGGTGTAACCACCAATGTCACTCAGAAAAGGATATTACTCTAATAGACGAAGAACTGATTCAGTCTTCGCCGATTAACAAAGAAAAATCTATCTAATTATTCCCGAAAGCACAATATGCAGGTTAACTTTTTCCCAATAAATTCCCCCATTCGTAACACTCGGTATAACATCCGGTTTAGTACTTGAAAAAAACGAACGATAATATCAAATCAGGATGGATATGAAATGTCATCTTTTTCTCAACTTGAACTCTCGTCTTTTTGGTAAGCTTTTTAGATCCTCATCATACACCGGTACCATATGAGAAACTGGTTTCTGTACCTGCGTTTAGCTTTTCCTACAGCGGGTCGTCACTTACCATTTCTATAGGTGCTTCAAAACTCACCATAAGTCTGAACAGCAAAATTTCTTAATTCTCCTAAACGGAATCTGAATGCGTACCACGAAATACTTACCCACCTACCCCCCCCCCCCCCCCCCCCCCCCCCCCCCTCCCCCACCCCATCCGCCCCCATGCTTCAGGAAGTTTTAGAGGAAGGGTGACACGTCGAGCTCGTTAGGATTCGAGTATTGCAAGGTGAAATCTGCCGAGAATTCGAGAGGTCGCAGCGGTGAGGAATAGTGGGAGAGGAGGACTGATAGATGTTGGAAGTTCCTCGGTGCTCGGGCAATGCTTTCATTTGTTCCTACACAATCTCCGTTCATTCTCTCATGACAGCACCCTTTAGATATTGCGATGCCTCTCAGATGAGCTCGCGCTTACCACGAACTCGCAATTTCCGCACTACGAATCATCAAGTCTCAACTGTTTTGACGGTCTCAACTGTTTTGACGCAGACATGCTTTAGCAAAATCCAGACATTTCAGAAGCAGCTTTTTTTCAGATGGTCTTGTGGCCGATACTATTATTGCTACCATTATGTATCGGCTCGAACATACCATGTGGGAAGTCGTTTCTGCCTTGTCCGAACGAGGAATCCAAATCCGAGACGCCGTTCATACGTGAAAGCAGTGAGTTTTTATATGCACCCATTCTACTGCTTATCACTGCATACAATAATACAATCATAACCATTCACCCTGCTCAATTTCGCAAATTTCACAATTTCGTAATTTCCCTATATGTTCACCTACAGCATTGTCTTCGTGAACGTCACAAGTCTTTCTCGCGACTTGAGCTGCGTTCTTGCCCTTGCAGTAGAAGAAAAGCACTGGTGCCGGAAATGCATGCGATCATCCTCGATTTCCACACAAGCCCTATACAAACAGCCTTTAAAGAATGTTTACAGAATTAGAACAAGGGTATAGGAGGACTGAATATCCAGAAATATGTAACTTTATAAGGCGATAATTGATTTTGCAAGATGTCGATAAACCTCGGGCTTTCATATGCGGGGAAACTTTCTGGACATCCATGGTAGATTTCCTATTGTCACCTGCTGTGAGCTATCCTGCGACTCTTCTCTCTTGCGGATAACATGCTACAATCCTTGTTCATATTGACGACTCTCTCTCTTTCTTCGTTTCTGGCCCCCATTTTTCCAACCGGGTGAACCGACGTGCCCAGTGCCCATTCAGATCAATGGCCATAGTAAGATAACCCCCGACTGGGACTGATCCGATGGCCTCGTCAATGATCAGGTAGGATCCATCCTTACTGCAGTTGGGGCGAAAGGCTTGCGGTGCGTACACGGATATCATTGTTCAGTAAACTTCTTTCTAATCTCAAATCCATGATTCGACTGCTACTCCTGTTGACAGCGGAGACAAAGTCTTTGAGGTTCACACTCCGGTACTGCAACGACCGCGCCATTTCGTTGGTCTCTTTTCCACTGAAAAAAAAGCTTAACACTTCCTCCGATTTCTATGGCCTTTACTACTTTTCAGCGTGTCTCCTGGAGTCATAAGGCTTGGAGATTCTTGCCCCTCATCAGATTACCAATTTCTCAGAACTTCCCAGTGAGCGGTCCACTTTTCAGAATCCCAATTTGAATACTGAAACAATTCATTGAAGGAATTTTTGCGGCATTATGATTACATACTTCAGATCTTGTGCTTTCTCATCGAATCCCGGATGGCTTGTTCTGGGTGGCAGCGAACGAAGCAAAAAAGGAGACACACGCCCTTTTCAACTACACTGACCCCGGCTTCACTCAGTCTGGTAAGTGATCGATTTGTAATTGAGCAATTGATGAATATTCTCTGCTCAAAGAGTAACTTAAAGAAATAAGGGTAACCAGATGTAAGCTGGCCTTTGTATTTAGAATAATCTCACAAGATCTGCAATCATGCGAATATATAATCCCTTCTATATTTAAGTTTTAATTATTATACTGATGAGTTTTTCGCTACCTCCTTTATAGTCTCTTCAATCCTGATGATATCTTTTTACGCACTGTACCTTCTTCCACGGCTTACTTCCGACCTTGAACTCATCTTGCAGCAAATCCCACTTGTACCCCACGTCCCCACAAAAATTTATACTTTCTTCTCCCAATTCGTTCACTAGGAATCAAGCGCACCGCACGCATGCGACGTATATTGCCCTGATATTCTACTAAAAGTTCGTAGTGAAATGATAGCACACCTGCCAACATGAAGGGAGAGCTGATGAACTATGAACTTATTCTAGCTTCAGGACATCCGTTGGCATCGTCGGTAGAGCAGTGGACTCAAATGCATCACATAGATAGAAAAGCGGTCGAAAGGAGTAAAGCTGCTCACGCATCCATTGCCATCACGAAGAGATTAACACTGTAAGTCGAACTCTGATTCCTTTCGCTTTTCCCGTGTAGTTGGTGTCTCAACCCATTGAAGAGGTTACTCTCCTCTATAGAGTATACCAGGACGGATGCGAAGAGCTAGGTGGCACGTACATCCTTCAAGAAAAAAAAANAAAAAAAAACAGTATATCAGCAAACTGATTTGATGAACCCTACCTGTAAGGCTCTTTTTCATGAAGAGTAAGCATCCATCCTTGATTCTGCTCGAATTCTTAATCCGTATACTACCTGCTCCTCTTTTCAAATCGGAAGCTCATGACCCAGACTAACTTTGCTGAGAGACCGCCTCTTCAGGTAGCTTGACACAATAAATATGATTCGCTGCATCCGTTAGACCAAGTTAGCGGCCGTTTTCCATCACAAGGAGTCTTTTTGAAGTGCACTTGCAACTCGGCCCTTTCAAGACTTTCCCAAAGCAGGTAACTGAAGAACGATGATCATTCTTATACTCATCGTTGTCATTCCATTTTCTTCCGTCTCAGGACACATTTTTGCCACAAATGGTCTACTGGTATTTGTTTATCTAGACCAAAACCTTTTGCCAAAACTGATGCCAATATCTAGTCTGAGTTTTTCTGGAAAACACTTTCCTTCTAGCAATAAAGTGGATGAGCACGTAGCGATCAAGACTATAAATGCAGTCGAGCCGAAACGCCATCTGACCCATTCAACACCAAAAATTGCTCCATGATGCAAATTTTATGAAAATCTCAGGCTGAAAATCGTAGTAAACAATATAAGAACGCTACCTGGACAAAGGTGAAAATGTAGTTGGGTAGAGGGGAGTGGGAGCATCCTTTTTAATCATTGATAGCTAGAGAGCAGAGAAGAAGAAGTGGCCGATTTTGCGAGCCCATAATGGTGCTTGGGAAATTTTTATAGCCAAAAAACATGTTTTTTACCTGAGCATGAAAAGGCAAGTGGCTAGGGTGAGCTGATTGGATAATCAATTCTTACCCCATATCAGCATTTCGCACGAGGTAATCAATTCACCCATACTGGAGTTCCTCTTTCTCTAAAGGATAGTTGAAAACAATATTCTCTGACTGAAACTCTCTAAGCACAAGAGGAGTTGACTGCCCCGGCTTCACTGCGCTTCAGCTTTCAATGATTCGAAGGAACCCGGCCCCCTCCCCACTACGTTCTCACCTGGACAAGCATCGATGGCTTATTCAAATAAGAAATTAAATATAGTATCTCAAAGTATTTCAAAAAAGATTAGAAATTGGTTCACAATCCATTCACAATGGGAATTGAACTCTCTTGGGCATGGTTACTTCGGCTCGTTCGGGCTTGCACTCTACAAAGGCTACTCAACCAGGAATGGGGCCCTATTCGTCGAATTTCCATGAAATCGCGAACGCAAGCGGAAAATCTTTGACGGTGATTCGAGCTGTAGTAATAGTGGTTACCAATCAAAAACGCGCTACAATACTACAAACCTGGCCTGCACACTGCGCTCACCAGTTATCCACTAAGTTCCTACGACATGTGGGCCTGAAGGAAGCCCGCGCGGTTTCGACATGAATTCCAATGCTTCTAGGTCGATACCGGCGATTATTCGGTATGCGACCACTCTAGAAGCTTCTCACCATGAATGGATGGATGACAAGTCCGGCTCATGCTGTTTTCATAATTTACTTTTCTACTCTTTCCTCTTTCAGATCATTCCTTATCACTTTGTTGAGTAGCTTCCGTAGCTTAGACGCTATTTGGTATTTGCGTGTAATTTGCTCTATTCCGCTTTCGCACATCAGCCCAAAAGTCTTTATAGAGGTGTCTCTCTTAGTGCCTTGCAAGGCCTGTCTCACTAGGTCTGTCGTGAATGTGCGCCATGCCGATTGTAACTTTCGCCGATATTGTTGGTCACAGAACTTTTCGATGACTTCGCTAGGGAAGTGAAGTGATCTCAACTCACAGCGATCTTTGGGCTTGTTTTCCTGGACTTCGCATCTCCTTCTCGACGCATTTAGCAACAGAAGCTAGCATGGAGGAGACGATAGTCTGATCCCTATAGCAGTTCGGATAAATAGCGACGCCGGTCAGGCGAAGTTTTAATTGGAGATGATTTGGTCTATTCCAACTAGAAATGTCTACCAGGTGACTCCCAATCCGTGGCGGATGAAAGGGCTTCTCGGTCACCATAGATGGCGACGACATGATGAACTTGGATACCCTTTCATCTTGCTAGTTCCATTCCTTTTCATGAGTCCCAATGTTAAGCCTTCAATGGTTCTTTTGAGACCATCCTTCGCATTAAGACCGCTGAAAATGATTTAAGGAGAATATACTCTTTCCGTCGAGCTTTTCCAGCTGCATGAGAATGCTTCTGCCCTCCTCTTCATCATGCGCTGATGTTGGCTAGTAAGGAATCAAGACTGGTAGAACTAAAGTCAAGCCAAATTTTCTCGTCCATGTATACACGACCGAATCGGGTCATAAGGTGCTCGTCCAAATCGATGCCCATGGCAACATGCCTGTTGGGTACATGTCTACGGCCAACGTCAATGTTGTCGAAAGCTCAAACGAACATTTCTTCTTTAATTCCAAAAACGATGTCTAGCCGTTTTTGAGATTAAGGAAGAACCACCGCGATGCGATAGACCAATCATCCTGGTCAGTCGAATATAGAAGCACTTGATCTTCCTTGTTTGAATCATCTGGCCTTCATAACAAGCCTTCGTGCCGTCGAAGTACAGATCACAATATGCAATTAGTCGTTCTTCTTTCGAACAGCCTGTATGAGCCTGGGTCTGGCCAGTTTCTACCAAGAGCGATTCTACCTAGCGCTGCCTTTTTGTGGTCATTTTCATATTCAGGTGGTGAGGTCCATTTGTGTTGCTTCTTTAGAATATGGGTACCCTCAATTAGTTTGCTAGGCTCTGAAGTTGAGGCTGGGTGAACTCTAAACAGGTTATCCCGAAATGGTGTTAGAGGCGATCCTAAACCGCCTCTCATGTACTTACCAGTCACTCGAGTGCAAGTTCAGGCTGAGCTGCTATGCGGGATACCTACCTCACCCACAAGGTGAACACTCAGTGAAGGAAACCCTCGATAATGTAACACCAACCCAATCGCCTGGGCTAGCACATGCTGGGCTCTCCATACACATTCACATACACACATACACAAGCATATCCCGATACACACACCCCAACATACACACCCATACACTCAAACACACCACGACAAACATCATGCATCCACGCCATCCATGAACGTAGTCTAACCCTACCTATTCCATTCGGTTGCGTATTTTTACTCGGGTTACGCCATTTCGGGCATGCTCCGCTCTCTGCGTCCTGGAGAGCGTTTGATTCTATCGTCGAGATAATGGGGTCACGCCGCGCACGTGGGATTGGCTGCTTTCATAGTCCGCCGGCCGGGCAGCCGGCGCGCCGGCTTACGTAAAACGAATTAATTCGTGAAAGAAATCTACTATGATGCATTTTACTCCCCAGCTCGACCGTAAAGAATCTAACCGTGAAATAAAATGCAAGAGACGTAGATTTCTTACCGAACTAATTCGTTTTATGTCAGCCGGCGCGCCGACCGGCCGGCCGGCCGGCGGACCATGAAAGCAGCCACTGAGACTAATTCCAGTGTAACACTTCGTAAGACTGAGGGCACTTCACCTTTATCGCAGTTACAATTAAATAAAGGGATATACCAAAACCAAAAGCGCAAGAAGCATGACTGAAGAATAAGCTCGCATACGAACAGGTTAATCAGAAGAACGGAGTTCAAGAAGAATTATAAGCTTGGCCTAACACTCATTACGGGAAAGCTTCGTATCCCTAGACCATTCCTGCCATCTGCTACCAGTACTTCTTTCCAGCCGCCTCCATCGAATGACATTCGAATGCTTAAGGTCCAGGGGAGCAGGAGTGATTATTTTTGCTCAAACAAACACCGACACACAATCTATACATACATACATATATACATCGACATGCATATACATAACCGACACACACAGTGATAACATCGCTATGTCGTGTGCGTCGTTGTAACACTGTATAACATAACATTGGTAGGGTCATAAATTTATAAATCAAATTTATAAATCATTATGGATCCATAAATCACTAAAAACACAAATGCAGAGTCGCATATTCTGAAGGTGCTTTACTCTCACTGGCTGAGCTAAGAAAGGAACTCCTTGTAGGTTGGGATTGCGAGAACGAGAACTTCGTTTCGGCATTCTACCCAACCAGGTGGCGTCATCTATTGGAAATTGTCCTATACCAACACTAGAGGTGTGCCCTCCCACGTATTACAGGTGCGATTGCTTTTCCTTTGCTACAGACGTCGTTAATGGCACGTCATTTACCACTGCAAGTGGTGTTGTTTTTTTCGAAATTTCAGCACCATTTAGCATTTGCTTACTTGATTCAATAAGGCATTTCAGGTCGTACTCTGGTCTCTGCAACAATGTGGCTCAGCCGGAATGGGGCGCAAGTCACGCACCATTCTCTCGAATATTGAAACCTGTCTATGCAGACGGTTCGTAAATCAACGCAGGACATTCAGAACTTTCGTGACGTTCAACTTTCGTTTCTTCTCCTAACCAGCCCGTATCGTTTTTGCGCATATTATTGCGACAAATGTGATTATGGGTACAGATATTACAAGAATCGGTCACAGAAGAACAGTTCACGATAATTTTGGTTTTGAGACCAACCCAAAAACCGGCTAAGCCGATGTACACACTCAAAGGCCAACGGCTTCTCACGAATTTGTAGAAAATGGGGGACGGAACATTAACCCAACTCTGGATGTACGCGACAAACCGCGCGGCGAAGTTCGTGGTGATTTAAACTACTCTGGTGCCTATCATTGGGGCACAAATTTGTTGTAGGGTAGGTAAGTAGAATCAGCAGGCCATATTGATCCAAGCTACGAATTTCGTAGCGCGGTTTGCTGAGTCCATTCAGAATGGGTGAATGTACCCATACCCGTAGAAGATGTAGAATTTGCACCATTCGCACCGGGACGCACACTCCGCACGCGGGAAGTTCACTGTAGCTGGCTGTACGCTGTGCAAATACCTCCTCCATGCAACTTTTTCTGTTCACAAACCCGTCCAACCCCTGATTTTGCTACTTTTTTTAAGCCTAAAGTATCCTAAAACGCCGATTTTCGCACTTTCTCCTCCGTTTTTTCACTATTTAAACTGCCAATCCCACTATTCGTTTGAAACTAGTTACTCCAGAAATATCGTGAACTGAGCGTTTGAGAAATAAACCTTGAAAAGCAGAAATCCCATCCAGTACCATGCTGTATTTGAGTCGCGAAATCGCATAGAATTAGCCATTCATAAATGCAGAAATATACATTATGTTAATTATTCTAGCAGAAAACTATTAGATTGGTACGAAAGCTCTTCGACAATGAAAATCGAATCCTCAAAAAGTTTTACAAGCAATGCGAAAATATTAGGTTGGCAAATAAGTCCTGCGACTAAAAATTTGAAGCGTTGAAAAATTGTATCAACAGTGTGAACACGGTAGCAAGGGTGATAAACCTGTGACGTTCCCCGGGCAATCAACACATCAGTGAATAAGGGCACGCGTGTGGCACGTTTCGCAGCATTACGGTCAATGAATGGACAACACCCGATTCGTACCGTCACCTTCTCCTAGCACGCCAAGGGAAAAACGCAGGTGTAGCAGCTCAAAATATCAGCAACTTATTCAGTGCCTGCTCTGCTCACCGATCAACGGTCAACGATCGGTTGGATGGCTTCACTGGAGGAGATACTAGCCTTCGAAGTAACGCAAGCATCGTCCTTTATTTAATGGAGGTTGAAGGGATCCATCCACTATGGGTTGCTAAACCAGACTAGATGGACACAGCTATCGCTTACCCCTATGAACCCCGAAATTTGGCCAGCGGGGTAAGAGAAGGACGATCAAACCGTAAATCAGGTCCCTACAGAGGGACAACGCACGTCGCACGAAAATTCTCTTTAGACCCACATCAAAAGTTCACCGATCCCGATTGGTTCCAGATTACTCATCAGTCCTACTCCCGGAGTGTTCCCCCTTTTACCTACTATGTGCTCTCCCTTTTTGAGCATCCCGTTGTGGAAAAGAAATTCGTAACTTGATGTGATCCAAAGACGGCAGTCAATTACTTCTTTGAGTCACTCCAAAAGAGATGGCATCAGTGTAGGCTCAAGGGATGAGAGAAGGTTGTTGACTTCTTCGGTAAATATTCTTCCGAAAATGGATTGATATGAAACGATTTAGAAATGATTTTAAAAAAGTCTCCATTTTGTCGCAGGACTTATTTGCAAACCTAATAATAACAAGATGGATATCAATGGGAAATCGGTGGTCTGCACAGCAATAACTACTGCAAAAGGGGGCTAATTCGAAGGGATGGGCAAAAGTAAGGGAACGATCGAACAAGTATTGCGAGGGAAATATGCAGCCTAACTCTTCCGAGAATCTTACTCTCAGTATTCCCCTACGATATTCAGGTGTTACGTCGCCTCGTGAAGCTGTCAGCGGCCGTCCTTTGCCACCAGTACGTGGTCTCTCTCTTACCCTGTTCAGTCCAGTGGCCGTCGTGAGTGACAGCATTTCATTTGTTTTTGACGAAAGTATTCGTCCATCAGGAATTTTTTTAAGTAAGCTGTTATTGTGAAATCGAGACTCTAACGACGTAATTTAGAGCCATCCCACCGTAACCGCGCTGTTTGCGCACTGGATGCAGTTTATCTCTTCCGATATGGTCAATATTGTGGAGACACAGGCATTGATCGACGGTCAGGAATTCTTTGTTTATTGTGTTTGAGAAAAAATAATATCAGAAACTAGTACCAATAAGTCAACCCTCTAAGATGGATCCCATGAAATTCTGCCGCTCCATGAGGAAGTAGAAAAGGCTGATAGAGGGTAAAACGAGCTCTGAATTCTGATTGCATGGTTCAAAAAGTAAAGCGAGTAGTAATAGTGGAGAGTTGTGTGCAGAAATTGGATATATATATGTGCAGTGAAAAGCTGCAGTACGAGGAGCGAGACGTCATGTGCACTGACTGTAGCAGAAAAATCTTCGAATGAGAGGCCCAGTAAAAAGCCGAAGCAGTCGACATGGGAAAGACTTACAGCCTCACTCATTGTCCCGTACCGTCTTTGGATGTTTTTTTTTCGCAATGTGTCAGAATACCCGCTTCAACATGATGTTGTCAATTACCCTTCACTCATGGCTCGTCATCACTGTATCTCCACTATTGCAACTATCGGGTTGTTGGGAAAGCAGTTGGGGTTTATGAAAATGTCTTTTTCGAACACTTGTTTTGTGGGTTTTCTGAAAGTTTGCACGCTTCCAATTCGATTCACTACAGGTACACACTTGTATTTTCTGGAAAAATAATGAACAGATTTTATTTCTTTTTGGAATTTTTGGATTGGTTTGTATTGGAGTGACAGGTTGACCATTTTCGACCCATTGCACTTTTTTACTTCGTAGTGGTGAAAGAGCTGCTGATGTTTCCCTTGATATGTATGGACTCAAGGGGACATGCCCTACCGCAGAGCATATGTCAAAACCGGTTCTCAACTTCCAGTTCGCGCAATGTTTCACTTAAAAATGGGTTGACCAGTAGGCAATGACGATGATCATTCTATGGCATTGACGGAAGCCGATGATTTGGAAGAGTTTTTTGGGAAGACCCACGCAACCATTGACAGGAGTACTGAACAAGTTGGGACAATGCGAAAGCTAGTAGATGATCAGGGTTCACATGAATTGACCGAAGTGCACTTGATTTAGAAATTTAGTAGCTCGATTTGCACTTCAACGCAATGGATATGACCCATTTTCGAGGCGAATAGTAACAAATGATGGGAATGGATTGATTGCACTAATGTTAATCCCAAACTATCATTGTCGTTACTGCATGAACTTGCTCAAACGATTACTAACAATAAACTGATCTTTATCAAAAGAATATCACGCCATTAATTTGGTGGGATCACAAGGGTATGAGTAGTTCGAAGTGCTTTCAAGGATCCAGAAAGCCCATTCGGACCATTCTTTATAGGAAACAGATTAAGGAAAAAAGAGGATCCGAATCCTCCGAAAAAGAATCAAAAAGTCTCAAAGAATTCGTGTTGCACTAAGAAGGAACACGATCGCATACATTGTTAATCACTCGTCAACGATTATTAAAGCGTGGTTAAGCTTGCTGAAAAATTAATGCCACTTCGCCCATACGGCCATACGTATGCCTTTAATTCTGTCATTGCAAAATTCCCTCAGGGAGAAAACGTACACCGAAGATGAGAGTCTAACACGTTGACGACCATGCGTCCCGATGCCAGGACGCACGTTTTTGGCTCGCTGGGTATTTATATTATTTACCAGGTGTTCCTATAGTTTTTTCATGTTTTCTAGTATCAGCTGAGCTCACAGCCTTCTAGAAAATCTTGAAGCATTGCGGTCCAAGAATAATTCATTTCTAACCACAGATATAAGAGAAAATAAAGGTTAATTTAAAGGCAATATAAAAGCGCGGTCGCCAATGGGTTGAAATCGTGCGTAGTCCAGTTCCCTGCTGAAAAATAAGATGTTCTGATAGAGGATAGCTATGAAATTACCAAAGGGATGATGAAAGATAATCGAACAAACTGTGGTTTATGTCATTAAGTAATTTCGTTTGTTAGTGAAGAAAATTCTTATGAAGCGCTCAAAAACGTAACTTTTACTTTACTTTACTTTCCCAATACCCCAGTGGTGCACTCCCAGTTCCATGAACTCTTGTTGTTTAATATCTAATCAAATGACGAACCCATTTCCACTTCTCACACACACTGATCCACTAAATTTCGTTTTCAATGCGTTACTAGAGTTTCAGGTCGCGTACGTCCATTCCCATGTTGCCGCCATGGCTTCACCCATCCAGAATGCAATTCTATTGATATTCCTACGGCTGATCCAGCTTTCAGGTGCGATTGAAGCTTTCTAGTAAGAGATTGCATAGTTTGTGTACCTCAAAGCATTTTATGATATACTGCCCACCAATTCGAGCAGGGAGTCTGCTCAGAAGAGGCTCTCTAGACGAGTCAATGAGACAGTGCTTCTACAGAATTTTTCCGATTGCCTAAAAATTGATATCTCTTCTACACAAATAGCATAAGCCAAGACTTGTGGTCATCCCTATGCGATGCAAATAGGGTACTGTCAGCAGCGTGGATGTAAGAAGAATGAGATGTTCTTGATCCGCAGCGATCGTTTTGGTTTCCACCATGAAGTCGTTCATCTTTCGCTTACCATGGACACTATCTCTCGATCAGCAGAATCAAAAAATACCTACTTTCATTCCTGCAACATAAGAAGCTTCCAGAATGGGCTGAGAGATTGCTTGTATATAGTTTTTCTGTTTCTCTGCTCAGTATAAAGGTCAATGAGAAAGGCGAATGATTTATGATGAATTTCATTTGACTTTTGTTTGTGACTTCATACGTTCAGGGGCCGCTTGACATGCCTGCCTCTTGCTCGCACCATGGTCGCCCCGAAGCTTTCCTGTGCCCTTGGTCCTCGCGAACAAGTGAATATGGCATCATCATACCTTGACGGTAGCGTCATCTATGGCTCTAGTCCAGAGCGAGCCAAACAGATGCGCAGTTTTTCGCAAGGTGAGTTACATCAAGTAATTGTTACTGGTTAGGGAAGCCTACCACAGATCACGTCCTGGCCACATTTTTATCGTTGAAGCAAATTCATCTTCGCAGCCTTATTTCATTGGTTACTTGCTTGATTCTATCGATAATGCCTTCAGTAGTTCCATGTACGGCTTTCTATGAACCTCGGCATAATTGTATTACTGAGTTTATTGCTGTCTTGAACTCTTCACAAGGTTTGTAAGTATTCTTTATTAGGCTGACGTTTCGGCGGAATCGCCTTCTTTAGAGCCTGAAAGGATCATAACAATTTGTGATTATCCGATCAAACGTCCCCGCCAACCCACTAAGTTCGAGACCTCCAGGGCACGCAGGTGGTTGAAAGGAGAACCATTCACCGTAACTTTGGGGATTCTTCGAAACCATCCAACAAGTAGTGGTACCAACCGACCAGTGTCAGCTGGGGTACGTCCTCATTAAAGTCTGTAGGGGAAGGCCAATCTTATATAAGGCCGTAGCTCTCGCGTGATTGCGAGACATTCTTCCCTACGATTCATTTTGGGATCGGTGACCTGTATCCAAAATGCCTCGAGGGTTTTACGCGCGCACACTTGCGACTCCTGTGCTACGACCTCCACGATGACCTCAAAATCGCCTCCGTTATGCTTCTGAACTCGGTG